CTCCTGAAGGAACAAAGACCTCTAGGTATGGTGCCTCGGGGGCCGAGGTAGGAAGATGTTCCTCAGGCCTGTAGCCACTGGTCAAATCTTGAATGTAGGCCCAGTTCAGCTCTCTGCTTGGAGCATAAGGCTCAGTGGTGAGGAGGTGATTCCACCTCAGAAGAATCCAGGAAACCTGCTCTTTGTCAAGTGTACTGGTGGGAGCCTCTGGGGCCACTGAAGTTGTAAATTTTCCTTCCTTTTCCTTTAAGTTCCATGAATCTGGGACTTGTACATGGAAGTCTAAGAACTGCCAAATTTAGTGAGAGCCAGCGGGGCACCATTTGCTGAACTGCTAAGTACATCTAGCCAATCAGAAAAGAGCTTTTATAAAGTTACCCTCAGTTTCCGTTGTTACCTCAGTCTGTAGGCCTGCTGTTTTTTAGTCTGGTTCACTTTAAGGGTATCCCTGTCAAAAACTAGAGCAGTTCCATAGCCTGGGGTTTCTGTTTCCGCTGAACCTTTCTTGCCCTCAGCACTTGGGTTTCCTGTCCATCTGTCATACAACCCGGTATTCGTGCTAAAGCCCATACTTGGGAAAACTCCACTTTTGAGGATCTGGTGCCATTACACCTAAGCACTCTACACACTGAGCTCCATCCTTATCCATACATAGGAATCTTGAACGTGACTATGACAAAGACGAGAAATGAAAGAAGGATTTGCAGCACTGAAAGAAACGCAGAAATGCATCTGTAATTGCAGTTGTCGCATGAAAAAGTCTCTTTGAGAAACTAATGGAAAAAACTAGGGATTCAACAAGAAATGATCCAGAAGGTCTGATCCAAACATGACCTCAACCTCACACCTAGGAATGAGAAGTAAAACACATCATCCACAAAGGCTACAGCAAAATTACCACCCCAAGATAAACTATGCATTCAACCAAAAAGTCCAAAGAGATTAAAAACCCCCTGAAGCTGCACAATGTCTGTTTTTTGATTGCTGGAAGCAAGAGCCCAATGAAACCACCTAACTGGACCACTCCATGAGTAGAAAGAAAAGTTTATTGCGAGAACAAACTACTAGCTTCTCTGTGAGAATAGAGTACACCAATTCAACAGGCCAGTCAGCAGAGTTCATTTTCTGTTGGCTATCTATTTCTGGGAATACAGCCTATCCTTAAAAGTAGTTTGTTTCCCACTGGGTGGTGGTGGTATATGTCTTTAATCCCAGCACCTGTGAAGCAGAGACAGGCAGATCTCTGTGAGTTCCAGGCCAGCCTAGTCTACAGAGCAAGTTCTAGGGCAGGCTCTAAAGCTACAGAAAAACCGGCTCCAAAAAAAAAAAAAAAATAGTTTATTTCCCCCAATGAGACACTCTTGGAGGAAACTAAATTTTCATTGCAAGTGCTTAGCAATTGGAGATTACTTCTGGATTAGGGATGAGTGTGTATCTACTTCTCCTTGCAGCTCTAGGAACCATCCAATGTAGACACATGCCAGCCTGTGTATGCTGCCTCTGTCTCTGTGGTTCACTGATTGTGTTGATGTAGAGGACCTTCTTTTCTTGGCATCCTTCATCCTCTCTGGCTCTTTTGTCTCCTCTTCTGCAGGGTTCCCTGAGCTCTGAGGGGAGACATCCAATTTGGTCTAAATGTTCCAAGGTCTTTCAGTCTGCATATTGTCTGGATATGGGTTATGTATTTGTTTCCATCTGCTACTGGAGGGAGTTTCTCCGATGATGGCTGAGCAAGACACTGATCTATGAGCATAGCAGAATGTCATTAGGAATCATTTTAGTGGTATTTTTCTTTGTTGTTAGAACAGCAGTATTTGGTTTTACCCAGAGGTTCCTTGTGTCTTCATGTCATCTCTGGGCTTTGCTTTTTTAAATTTAATCTTATTGTTTTTTATTTTATTTAATATTTTTCTTCCCTCTTTTTACCCTTCTGGTCCTTTGTATATACATTATGACTTCCAATTTAGTGTTTTTCATGGGATTCATGAGTGTGAAAGCAAGTGGATCCCTGCATCTGTATCTGCTTCTACTGTCTTCTCTTGGGTCTTTTCTTTATGTTTTTTTTTTCATCCAATTCTGACATAGTTTAGTTTTCTTTAATCATATTATATTACTACCTATTAGATGCCTGGTTGTTTTCTAATGAGAGAAAGAAAGGGGGTGGACTTGAATCTGAGGGGAGGTGAGGAGGAACTGGGAGGAGTAGAGGGAGGGCAAACTGTCATCAGGATATATTATATGAGAAAATCTATTTCAATAAAATGTTTGTGAGGTGAACTCCTGGAATCTGGCTGCAGTGAGGGAGGAGTGATGAGCAAAAGGGTCAAGACCAGGCTGAAGAAACACACAAGAAACAGCTGACCTGAACAAGTGGGAGCTCATGGACCCCAGGCTGATAGCTGGGAAACCAGTATGGGACTGATCCAGACCCCCAAAATGTGGATGTCAGTTAGGAGGCCTGGGAAATCTATGGGTCCTCTGGTAGTGGACCAGTATTTATCCCTGGTATAAGAATGGACTTTGGGAGCTCATTCCACATAGAAGGATACTCTCTCAGTCTAGACACATGAGGGAGGGTCTAGGCCCTGCTCCAAATGATATGACAGACTTAGAAGATTCCCCCATGGAAGGTCTCACCCTCCCTGGGGAGCAGAAAAGGATTGTGATAGGGGGTAGGTGGGGAGTTAGGGGAGGAGAGGAGGAAGAGGGACCTGGATTTGACATGTAAAACAAGATTGTTTCTAAATTAAAGTTAAAAATCACACAAAAAAATATGTTGAAGCTGTTAAACATAAGAGGCTCTTGTCTGGTATTGGAGTGGTAGGAAGCTGGTGAAATACATTTATCATAGCACCGAGGCTCTGAAAAAAATTACAGAGGTGTCAAAACTAAAGAAAAAGACCAAGAATTGAGGCCTAGCAATTCTTCTTGTGTTGACCTTTACCATAATTTCCCCTTCAGTCATGGCTAAGAAATAAGCAAAGCAATGAACATATAACTAAGTCTATGGCCATATTCATGTTGTCATTAGAAGCCCCTGAGGGAGTTGAGTCATGTGAATCTCATTTGGAATTCTGAATACCCTTTCTCCAATTTCCTAGCAGTGTGTGGCCTGAAGGTGCTTTGATGGAGTATATAGGAGGTGAAAAGGTAACTGAAGGGACGACTCCTCCTTGGGTACCCCAGCTGCAGTGAGACTCTTCAGAAATGTATCTGTCTTTGACTCAGCAATGTAAGTATTGCTTTTACTCATGTCCCTTGAGATAAGACTAACAAGGGCATAATTTTTCCAAGCTAAGTTTAAATGGCCTATACTTCTAGTGTCAGTTGGTGTCTTATTTGACTTGAGGTAGAAAATGGGATTGTTTCTGATACCTAGTGTATGGAAACCAAAAATGCTTTTGTAAACTTCCATGAAAAGTACAAATCAAGGTAGAATCAAATATTCAAAATTAAAGAAATGGAGACATTTGCTAAAATGAGAACAGAAGAGTCTATGGATGATAGTTTTTCCAGGATCACCTCCATGTGTTCTTAGACATAAATGAATCTAAAGTAATTTTCAGTGCAGGAGACTGATATAGACAAGCCTAGCACATGTGGATATAACACAGATTAGACAGTTTCATTCTTCCAGTATATCATTTCAAAAGAAAAACAAGTTAGGATTACGTATTTGTCTCTAGAGCCTTGATGACATTTTCAAGAATTAGTAGTAAAAATATATATTTTACAAAAACTTATCTTAGGCTGTGAAAACCCTACAGATAAAAAACATAAAGAATATGAATGAGCATGGTTTATAGAAAGATGTATGTTGCACATAAAATAAATTTGGAAAATTATTATGAATTTAGAAACTTAACATGCGATATAAATTATTTGATGATGTCTCATTTTTTTAGCTAAAAGTTTGAAGATTAACTTGTATGCTACACAATTTTTGGCATATGTAGTTTGTTTTAGTATTTCTGCTTAGGGATTTTACTATGCATAAATCTTTACCTATTCCCTATTTTTATAATCCACATTTCCAACTATAGTTATCAAAGGTTATGTGGACATTAGGATCTTGAACTCATGTTTTGTGTCTGAAATTTTCAGGTTAATGTGACTAAAGCATACCTTCATACCCTCTCATCCTTTTGAGGGTGCAAATTATTAATATGTTACAACTATGCCTCAGTCAATATAATTACAGGCAAATTAATGATGAAGTCACCAGTTATCATTGTCACAAATTGGAAAAGGTATATGCTACACAGAGCAGGGGGAAGTAGACACAATCAAACTCCTAGGCAATCTACAGCAATGTAGATTACATGTAAAACCAACATCTTCAGGTAGCACTGGACCTCAGGACTATATATGTGGCTCTTGCTACAAAAAATGCACAGTGAGAGTTCACAGGTATGTAAGATTTGACAACTAAAGTGCAAAGTCCACAATGCTGTCATCCTGTCTGAACATACTGATCCTGGGATGATGGAAAATCAGGTAACCTCTGTACATCATGTTTTTCATCAATATAATGTGATAATAGTTATGAAGGCTGAGAATATCCAAATGATTACTGCAAATATCAGGTTCAGGAAAATGGTCTGAAGTTTTGACAAAAGGACAGAGCTTTGACATGACTATGGTGGGTTAGAAAATCCATGCTATGACATTGTTTTCATGGCAGAACTGCCTTTATCATTCATGTCAGCAATCCAGGAACCATGTCTTGATTTAGGTCAGACAGGAAAAATGAATCAGACCAATGAACTGTGCTGTCCTTGTCATATCAGTGTCCTAAATGTTCCTAATTGACACTGAACAAAAAAAGGACAAATTGGTGAGAATTTTACACTGAAAAGGCACAGGGAACATCTTATGCCTCCCAGTCAGGATGACTCTTGATAGCCTCATAGGAAGAGACCTCACAGTGATCTTCTTTAACAGGGATCCTGCTCTTGCTGGTGGTATCCATAGTCCAGGTGGAGAACAAGAACTCTAGAATGAATGTTAAAAGGTTGAAAGTCTCCTACCCCTCACCCTTTGGGAAAATGCTGGATCAGGCAATCAAGTTATCCCAGGATATGAATCTCCGAATTTCAGCACTGTCCACGCACTTTGTAAGTATCTTCACTGATCCCTGAAGTCTTTACAGTGGTTTTTTTATGTTTTTTTTAATTTGAATTAGAAACAAGATTGTTTTATATGACAATCCCAGTTCCCTTGTCCCTCCCGTCCTCCCCTACCACTGGGACTGACATGTAAAACAATCTTGTTACTACTATTTTTTCAGATTTTTTAATTTGAATTAGAAACAGGATTGTTATACATGATAATCCCAGTTCCCTTCTCCCTCCTGTCCGCTACTACTACTCCCCTGCTCCGCAACTAAAGTCCTACCTATCACATATCCTTTCTGCTTCCCCTGGAGTGTGAGGCCTTCCAAAGGGTGTCAGCAGAGTCAAGCATATCCTTTGGGATAGGGCCTACCCACCCCCGTGTGTCTTGGCTCAGGGAGTATTCCTCTGTGTGGATTGGGCTCCCAAAGCCCACACCTGTGCTAGGAATAAGTACTGAACTACTACAAGAGGTCCCGAAGATTTCCGAGGTTTTCTCACTGAAACCCATGTTCCTGGGGTCTGGATTAGTCCCATGCTGGTATTCCAGCTATCAGTCTGGGATGCAAAAGTTCCCCAATGTTCAGGTCAGCTGTTTCTGTTGGTTTCACCAGCCTGGTCTGGACTTGTCCTTTGCTCTTCACTTGTCTTTCTCTGCATCTGGATTCCAGTTCAGTTCAGTGATTAGTTGTGGGTGTCTGCTTCTGTTTCCACCAGCTGCTGTATAAGGGCTATCGAGTGGCATATAAGTCAGTCATCAATCTCATTATCGGGGGGGGGGGGGCATTTAAGGTAGCTTCTCCTCTGTAAGCAACAGATTGTTAGCTGGTGTCATCTTTGTAGATCTCCAGACATTTCAATAGTGCCTGATTTCTCTGTAAACCTAAAATGTCTCCTTCTATTATGGTATATCCTTTCTTGTCTTCTTCTATTTTTCTCCTGACTCAACCTTTCTGCTCCCTCATCTCCTCTGCATCCCTCCTCTTCTCCCCTTCTTATTCTCTTAGCTCCCTCCTCCCTCTTCCCATGCCCCAATTTGCTCAGGGGATCTTGACCCTTTCCCCTTTTCCAGGGGACCATGTATGTCTCTCTTAGGGTCCTCCTTGTTTCCGAGCTTCTCTGTCAGTGTGGATTGTAGGCTGGTAACCCTATACTCTATGTCTAAAATCCACATAGGAGTGAGTACATACCATGTTTGTCTTTTTGTGATTAGATTGCCTCGCTCAGAATGGTTTCCTCTAGTTCTACCCATTTTCCTGCAAATTTCAAGATTCCATTGTTTTTTTTTTTTCCCACTGAGTAGTACTCCATTGTATAAATGTACCACATTTTCTCTATCCATTCTTCAGTTGAGGGCCATCTAGGCTGCATCCAGTTTTACAGTGCTTTTTTCTTTATGTCAGTGAAGCTGAACGTGGAAAATATCCTGAGCCAATTTCAACATAATATACCTCCATAGGGAAAACTTTAAGCTACTGAAATTTGGAGTGAGAGAATAGCCCAGTTGGTGAAATGTCAAATGTTTGGTATGAATACAATGATTTTTTTCTCAATATTTTAACTTTAACTTACTTAACACAAAGCTCAGGAGTATAAGGCTGAGGAAACACTTCAGTTTTCTATTCCTTTGTATAGGAGATGTATGTCCTTTAATGTCCTTCATTTAGGACAGTATTAGTACTCAATGAAGGAGAACTGCTTCATAATGGATTTCAGGGGATTGAATAAAATTAAAGACATTGAAAATAAATGATAAAGAAGAAAAATAATCAAGTAACTTCAGAAATCCCCAAATGCTAAGAACTATCATAGAATTAATTCCAAGACATAAGCTTAAGTTGGTGGATCTAGTTTTAGAGCTGAAAGCAGAGCCTCTACTCATGGTGAAGGTAATTTGAAGGCAGTCTCGCAACTATTTTAGAATAAAGTACATCAATTAGCATGTAAGAATGTGGCTCAAGGCTTATAATATATATTCCCACCATACATTATACTCACCAGTTTTTCTATCACTTCATATTTATACTCTCCCAGCAATCCTTTGAAACTATCACAAATTTTCTCAGTAGTACTTTTTGATAATAATGTGTCAAAGAAGTGTACTAAAGTCATAATTAAATAATGCTCATAATTAAATTAAGAAGTGTAATAAAGTCATAATTAAATAAAGCAACAATGTTTATGTGATTAATATTTTTCTACTTTAACTGGCTTATCATTTGTTATTTCCTAATACATTGTACTTGACAGTTTAGAACTCACTTTGCTACAACACAAGTGTAATGTGAGTGTATGACCATCTTGGTATAGAATAGCGCTGTAGATACAGGGGAATGTGCAAGAGAAGTTCTACTGGTATGATGACTAGTTAAGGAACATCAGTTTGGATCAAAAAGTAATAAAAAGAAGCTAATGGATAAAAATATATAAGAATTTTCGCAGTGGTGCAAATATTACCATATTACAACATTTATTTTTGCAGTTTTGTAGTTTTAGTGTCTGCTTGCCACAGAGTAACTTTTAGGAAAGATGAGAATAGCAAGGAGGGAAAGAGATTGAGAGATTAGAAAACTAGATGAATAAAAAATTAAAATGGAAATAAGTCAATAAAAAGTTACTGGTCTAATTCCTTATTTTTATTTTTAGGATTATTTAATTTTAAAATTGCATAGCTATCAAATACACTAATGCACAAGTTGTTGATTCATTTCCTCAACTTAGAAATGATAACTAATTGAGTGTTTTCTCATTTCAGAATAGGTTTTATGCCAGTGGCCGAGGGTTTCACAACAGGATCATCAAATGCCACACTTCTCCACTGTCTAGACCAGAAAATAAGGAGCAAGCCCAAAATACTGAAGTGAGTTCTTAGCCTTCTTTTTGTTCCCAAAACTACTGAAGCAGTGCACTGGCTTTCCAAAGCACTTTTATTACTTACATTGCATCACAGCATAAAAGTATATAGCAATCACACTTGCAGAGATAAATTAAAAATTAGGTAAGGAATGAGAAATTAAAGAGCAATCTCATTGAAACAAATTACATAACATCATTGGTAAGTAATATTATATCAGGTCTATACACTATCCATTCAAAAAAGCCATTTTACTAATGCCTTGCCTCTGATATTATACTTACTGTTTTGTAGTAAGTGTGAGTCAACTCTGAGCGGATGGTTAAGCATGTGTATGTAAATGAAGAACTAATAGAGTTGTGTTCATCAAATGTTACACTGGACTCTGTGTTGGCAGAATTTAGCATTACTGAACATTGTATCATCTAGTCTTGACATTTATGTCTCCCCTGGATCTACTTTTATTTCTTTACATAACTGCCCCCTCCTCTCTGACCTTTCTATCTTTACCTATGTCATAACTGGAAAACTAAAAGTCACTTGAAGAAAGGAGTCCCGTAAAATGCAATGTGATGTTCCTCAAAATAAAACTAGCAGCTCTTGTAATAAGGAGTTTATATGTGATGCTGACTCTAACATATAATAGGTATTATCTCTTATTTCTGATCCCTTTCCATGAAGTAACTTAAGTAATTTACAATGAACATCATCACATATCCAAAATTTCCCCACAGATATATTCTACCTTCCTTGTTTTTTTTCTTGTTACCAGTATTTTATATTCTACATTCTTACTTATTACCTAAAATAATAATTAATAATATCATCATAGAAAGTTAAAAAACGAAGTCAAAAAGAAGGGAAATTGTTAAGAATTACTACTTGGCTGGAAACTTCTTAAAACACTCTTCTGATATTTCTAAATTTAACTTTGTAAAATTCTATAGCATGAAGACAGTGGCTATGGTTTAAACTTTTTAAATCTGTGCCAACAAAAGAATATTCTAAATATGTATATGCATGAACAAAGAAGAGCTTATTTCAGCTACTTGAGCAAAAACTGCCTGTATCTAACACTTCTGCATTTCCTTCATTCTAATGTGATTGTTCACTTGTGGTTGCTTAGATGGAAGTCCTACTGAAGTTGACACGCAGTCTATTGCAAGCCTGGGTTAACCCACTGCACCATCTGTGGGCTGAAATGGGTGACAAGCTGGGATACACTCCTCCTTACCTCACAAAAGCCCTGGAGATTAAGGCTATAAACACAAGGCTCCTAGAGGCCATGAAGAGCATCATCCGAAAGGTAAGCAGCTTCCTAAAGTTCTTAAAGTCTGTCTCACACATGGGTGGGGTAACCTGTGTAATGATAAATGAATTTTGAAGCACTTCCCTTTGCGGCAAAGAAATTGGAGGATTCAACTAGGTCAGTGTCCTCACTACTAATACTTACTACCAATACTCATAGGCAGTTTACTCAGTACCTCAGATCTCAGTGATCTCAGAAGAAAACAGCTGTTCCTCATAATTATTTGTACCTTTCTGGACCAAAAGACAAATGTGTAACTATCCTAGCAGTTCTTATTACAGTCAATGATCAACTACTATCTACATCTTAAGGCACAAATCCAATCCTCATTGGGCCAAAGGATTTGTATGCATACACTATGTGGGGTATTTATTTAGTAGAAAGGAAGAAAAGAATAATAGTGTGGTGTCTGGATCCACAAAACATAAAAACAAATCAGGGATAATTGTGAAGATATATAAAGTTCAATAATTGACAGAATTTATACTACCCCTTCCATGATCCCCAATAGCAAATTATTAGCTGCCCATCTGTCTGCCCCTGTGCTGTGTGAGACTTTTCCAGGGGACAAACAGTTCTACTCACCCCAGAAAGGGAAACCATGACAGACAAAAGTAACAACTACAATGAAACCCAATTTGGTAAAATGATGAGATTTTTCTGGTGTTCTAAGAGGTTGAGAGTTACTTGAATAGAAGGGGTAACTCAAAAGCAGCTACATGACAGAAAATTCCTACCCCTACCCTCCAACACAGATGAGAGTAATGAAAGCTGAAACTGTAGAGCTCGCAATACAATTTGCAAGAAGAGGTACAGGACTGAGAGACCTTCTCTTCATAATTCATCAGGGCAGCATCTGCACAACTAGTAGTTGTTTGTGGAGTCTGTAAAGCTGGAAGGAACCTTGAGAATCTTCCAAGATTCTAGTCTTCCAGACGTGAAATTATGGGGGTGGGGGTTGACTTGTTTGTTTGTTTGTTTGTTTCTTGAGTTTTTCTGAACCTATCCCTCTATCTTGGGGGAAAATTTTCAATTGGTAATCAATTATACAACATCTTGGAAAAAACAAATGTTACTGGCATCAACTCCATGCCACGAAATATATCAGTCTGCCCCACTTATAGTTTTAAATGCCCAACATATTCTAAGTGCTCTGTTCCAAATAAATGAAAGTCCATGGGTTTCACTGAGTGCTACAATACTAACTTTTCACAAATTTGAATTGAACATGTAGAAGAAATAAAATCCCAACCTCTCATGTATAATTCATGCCTAACTATTGTTTTGGTGTTTAGGCTAATTTTGCACTTGAAGAAAATGTGAAGACCCCTGACTGGTCTGAATTGGCATCTTTGCAGTCGACCAATAGAGACACTAGATATTTTGCCTTTTATAACTTGTTTCACTGCTTGGGAAGTGACTCACGTGATGTGGAAATGTATCTGAAGCTCGTAAAGTGCCAAATGGTTCAAAGAAACTGCTAAGAGCGCATCCTTTCCTACTGCCTCAATGATGCTTCTGGATGATGCATCTTTTACTTATCTGTACATTGAACCTGTACTTGAGTAATTGGTCTGTTCTTTAAAAATTTAAATTAAAATATTTAAACAAAGTTACTAAAGATACCTTTGTTGATTTAATAAAAAGTCTACAAAAAACATTGATGAGTTATTATTATCAGATGTCACAGATATCAGAAGTTAGCCTGTTTCTGTGTAACTATAGCTGCCCTTGAATTCACTCTGTACACCAGGCTGGCCTTGAAGTCACAGAGATCTGCTTGCCTCTGCTTTCCAAGTGCTGGGATTAAAGGCGTGTTTCTTTTTCTTTCACAAGCCTACAGATATTTTTATTTAGAGATTTTTCTTATCTGAATCTGTCTTTATTGTAAGTCTTTATCTTTTTCTAGCCACACAGTCTTTTATCTCCTAACCAACATTGCTAAAATGAAAGCAGAGGCTGTTTTAGCTGCTGTCTTTCCAAAATGTCGGGGGTATGTTTACCGCCAGCACTGAGAGCTGTGCTCACTGCATTGGGCTACGCTGCCATCAACTAGCATGCTGCCAGCTTGGAGATGTGGTCACTGCCACAGCTGGTCATACACACCCTGCAGTTTTTCTTGCTTATTGCGAATCAGGAAACCTGTCTTAAAGGAGATGCTCCAGTGTCTGCATTTCTCCAGCTAAACAGAGACCACCCAAGAAAACGCTGCTACCAAGAAGTCTCACTTGTCTCTGTTCTTATGCTTCTAAAATCCCTGTTTAAGCTTTTGTGAAGTTTTTATGTGGACATTCATAAAACCACGTCCTGACACCATTTTGTAACAATAACTCTTTCCACCAAGCCACCTGAGCCCCGCAGCCACGTGGGCGGCCAAAAATAACATACAGAAACTTATATTAGGTACAATGCTGCTGGCCAATTACTAGGATTTCTTATCTGCTAGCTCAGTGTTAACTATCAACTATAACCATTAATCTATATATTTTATAAAGACTTATCTGATGGAGGGAAGCCAGCGGCACTCTTCCTCTCTTGCCAGGCTCACCTCGTGACTCCTGTCTCTACTACATTTCCCAGAATCCTCCTTGACTCCTAGTCCTGCCTATATTGCTTCCCTATTGGCCAACAGTGTTTTATTCATTAACCAATAAGAGAGACATATACACAGAAGGACTTTCCCCATCACTTATGTGCCATCCTAGAGCCTTCATCCAGTAGCTGATGGAAGCAGAATCAGACACCCCCAACTAAACCCTGAGCTGAACTCCTGGAATCCTGTTACAGAGAGGAAGGAATGATGAGCAAAGGGGTCAAAATCAGGCTGGAGAAACCCATAGAAACAGCTGACCTGAACAAGGGGGAGCTCATGAACCCCAGACTGATAGCTGGGAAACCAGCATGGGACTGATTGAGACCTCCTGAATGTGGATGTCAGTTAGGAGGCCAGGGAAATCTATGGGGCCTCTGGTGTGGATCAGTATTTATCCCTAGTACAGGAATGGACTCTGGGAGCCCATTCCACATAGAGGGATACTCTTTCAGCCTAGAAACATGTAGGAGGGCCGAGGCCTTGCTCCAAGTGATATGACACACTTTGAAGATTCCCCCTTGTAAGACCTCACCCTCCCTGAGGAGCAGAAAGGGGTTGGGATAAGGGGGTCGGTGGGGGGGAGGGGAGGAGGGGAGGGATAGGGAACTGGGATTGACATGTAAAACAAGCTTGTTTCTAATTTAAATAAAAAGTAGAAACAAAGTAAAAATTCACTATGATTGATAATATTGCCTTAGAATATTAACCATGGTGCAAACCTGAGTCTTTCTTAACTTTTAAATTCTAATAACAAATAATATCCTCTGTTCTACATTCACACCCCTTTACTATTCATTTTATTTCATGATGATGTTCATTACATTAGAAATATTCTTTACCATCATCTACTGAATGACTACAATACAGAGACATGTAGAATTCAGAAACTCTGAAAGTCAGAATTCAAAAGAAAATTGTCTACCAGATTTTTAAGAAAGACTTTCCATAGTTAAAGTTGTTCATGCAAACTGATCTCATCCCTCCCTGTCTGGTACAAAGGAAACTCCTGGGAATCTACAAGGGTGACTTCAGCTAAAATTCCCATCAAAAGCAGATACATAGCCTGATCTGCCCTTCTTCTGTGATCAGGAAAGACTTTCCAGTGGAAGAATTGGGACTCCAATCCACCCACATAACCTTTGAACTACAGTCTATCTTGCCTATGAGATTTTCTGTGATAAGGGTGGCATAGAGATTGAGAAAGTGTCTAACTCATTACTGGTCCAACCAGAGACCCATGCCACAAGAGCAATCCTACCACTGATACTGCCTAGAGCACCAGGACCCAGAAGCTGGATGACCTGGAGACCTAGGATAGAGACAAACACAAAGCAAAAAAAAAAAAAAAAAAAAAAAAAAAAAAAAAAAAAAAATAAAAGAAAGGTGTCATTGCAATGATGCCTATACTGTAGAGGGTAGAGTCAGTTTTCTTTAAAGGTATGGTCTCTGGTAGATCAATCACGGTCTGGTGAAAGGTCACACATAAAGAGTATATGGGCAGTACATACCTTGTTTGACTAACTAAAAAGAAAGAAAAGCAAACACAAAGCTGGATAGATAGGAAGCTTGTGGGTCTGAGAAAAGTTTAGGGAGGGGGTGAATATGATCAAAATGCATTGTATGAAATCTCAAAGAACTAATTTAAAAGGAGAAAAAGTACATTCATTATAATCATTATATTTGTAAAAAGGGTCATTATTATTATCTGATAAAATAGACCTCCAAAAATTATTAGAGATGAAGAAGACATAAAGACATTAACTTTTGTATCAGTAATTATTCTATTGCTGGGAAGAGACCATGACCAAGGCAACTTTTACAAAAGAAAGCATTTAATTGAGGGCTTGCCTACTGTTCCAGAGGTCAGACCATTATCACTGTGGTGGAGGCATGGTGGGAGCATGGTGACACTCATCATACTGGAGCAGGAACTAATTAGGAGAGTTGCATTCTCATCTGTAGGCAGTATGGCAGAGAGGTGGGCAGAGACAGAGACAGAGACAGACTGAGCCTGGCATGGGCTTCTGAGACCTCTAAGCCCATTCTCAGTAATACACTTCCTTCAAGGAGGCCATACTTTGCAATCCCTCTCAAATAGTGCCACTCCTTAGTGACAAAACACCCATTATGCTGTGTTACATAAAAGTTCACGCTGGTGACTGAGGCAGTTGTTGCTATAAAAGAGGTGATCTAGGTCAATAACAGACTCTGCTAAATGGAGATTTCTTCTAAAAAGCATAACTAGTGATATAGGTATAACCTCCTAAATGACTCCAGGAGTCCCATTGACATGAGACACGGTTCTGTTGAAGGAACAAATTAAACAACCATGTAGAGAACCCCTGGTTAGAGGCCTAGAATTCCTTCAAACCCAGAAATGCTGTGTTCTAATAGTTTTCCCTATGACATCAAACTCTGATACACCCAATTTCATAAAAAACATACTACTGGAAATTAAAGACACATATTAATACAAACCCAAAACCCAATAGTAAGTTTTCTTCAACAACCCAGTTTCTCAGCTGGGGTGGGAGGTGGGGAGTGGAGGGTGGGGGAAGGAGGCACACACCTTTAATCCCAGCACTCAGGAGGCAGAGGCAGACAGATCTCTGTGAGTTCTAGACTAGTCTGGTCTGCAAGAGCTAGTTCCAGGACAATCTCCAAAACCACAGAAAAACCTTGCCTTGAAAAACCAAAAACCAAAACCAAAACCAAAAAACAACAAAAAAAACAGTTTCTCTAATTAATATATCACCTGCACAAAACATATAGAAACCTCAGAATTAAATGACTTCTTATGTTAAATGATCCTAAGAGCTACAGAATATTTCACCCAAATGCTAAAGAATATACATCTTACTAAGCAACATTTGGAAGCTTCTCAAAAAGTTCATGCTGGGTCACTAGACAAATCTTTTTTGGGGGTGGAGGGGGTTCAAGACAGAGTTCCTCTGTGGCTTTGGAGGCTGTCCTGGAACTAGCTCTTATAGACTAGGCTGGCTTCAAACACATAGAGATCTGCCTGCCTCCGACTCCCGAGTGCTGGGACTAAAGGTGTCACCACTGCCTGGCTCAGGCATTACTTCCAGTTTGCTAAATGTATGATTATTAATTACATTATAAATCATATCCTTATACCCACATAATATGCTGGCTTGTGGATATATAACCCCAGACCTGTGGGCAGTGGAGACAAGATGACCACTAGGGATTTGATGATTTCCACATTCACAGAGACCTTGTCTGTAGGGAGCAAAGCAGAGAGTGATATTGCAGGGCACCCAACATCTTCCTCTGACCTTCTACATGTATACACAGATGTGTATGTGTGTGTCCAACACACAAACAACCAATCAATCAAAATAAAAGAAACTCTGCTAATGATGGATGTACTATTCGGGGACTCAGGATGCATTCCAGAGTTAGAAATCCTTGCCTGAGGGTGTCAAATGTCTGTTGAACACAATGTATTTGGAGAAAATGAAGGTCTGTGTGGCTGAACATTATTCATGCTATGGACTCTTTGAACAGACAGATTTGACTGATAAAACAGTAGTGCTGTTTTATGGCTTGAGGTCAATTACATAGAGTTAGAAGAAGTAGCCAATTGAAGGACATGAATTCAACTCTTGTTGCCTATCTACCTCTTGACAGGCCAGGCACTGTAAGTTATCTCAACTAGTTAGGTCCTTAGCACTGTGCAAATATCCTACAAAGCTGGTGGCTAAAGAGAAGTGATAATGTGTTGTCAAAAGCTAAGTAACATAGTTGTTTCCTGTCTTGTTCTAACCAAAATTACTTTCATTGAAACAAGTGATGAAATCTGTGCATACTTTCTTAGAACTTGTTAACTTTTTGTTAGTATTTCCATAAAAAAATGAGTATCAATAT